ATGCCCTAAGATTTAGAAAAATTCAGATTCATATATAATAAATGGATGACCCTTCAGATCGGTCTTTCTTGATAAAGTTACATATTTGACTTCTCATCGAAAAAGTCTGGATAATGAAATGTTCGATGCGTTAAAAACATTTTTTTAGATAAGTTTGTAGGGTTTATGTTTATTTTAACTAACATTTATTTTAAGTTTAAGCTATCTTTCCTGTCAAGCCTTTACTTTCCCCTGGAATTGCCAATGCCAGAGTATGTAAATTTTAGTAGAACGCGCAGAGTATTCAAATTTTTAGCAGAAGTAATTTTGAGTTAAATAGAAGGGAAACGAGTTTGTAAGCTTGTAGCTTTCTTGATTCACGAGCGTGAAGGTTGCTAGGTAGAAATTTAAGAACCGCGCGTTTCGGCCTGTGTGCTTGCTTCGGCAGTTAGTTGAATCTTTCAAATTTTTATTCAGAAAGTTTGCTGAAATCTCAGCTGTATCTTAGAACGCGGTTAAGTTAGTCACGTTTAGAGAACCTCGTAGGTAGTGACTTGTTATTACTCATTTTTAGTTGTACTTTTTTATTTTTATTTAACCGCCGGGTCGGCGTAGTTTGTGAGCGTCAAGTGTACGCATCTGTAACTTCTAAAGTGGAATAAAAAGGGAGTTAAACCCTTCTTAAGAGTTTGTGTACTTTCCAGTTCATAGCAGTCACTACTATTGTTGCAGGAAATTTGGGGCCACGCAACACTGTTGTGTAGCGAATTTAATTTAATTAAGTGATTCATAAAAATCAAAATTTTTATGAATTTGTGCCTACTCCGGCAGTTAGTTGAAACTTTCAACTTCTCAATCCGAAAGTTTGCTGAATCTCAGCTGTATCTTAGAACGCGGTTAAGATAGTGGCAATTATAGAGCCTCGTAGATAGTGACTTCATTAGTTATGCATCCTGTTATTCATTTTTAGTTGTAGTTTCTTATTTTTATTTAACCGCCCGGTCGGCGTAGCTGTGAGCGTCAAGTGAACGCAGCTGTAACTTCTAAAGTGGAATAAAAAGGGAGTTAAACCCTTCTTAAGAGTTTGTGTAATGTCCAGTTCTTAGCAGTCACTACTACTGTTACGGGCAAGTTGGGGCCACGCAACATCACAAGCTGAACACCTGATTACAGTTCTGCGTAATTATACTACTCAGTTTAAAATTGTTAATAAAAAATAATTTTCTTTTTCATACCCCAAAATAGCTGTTTTTTAATAAGTTTGCTTCAGCCAGTTTCCAAAATTTCCCGTCGTACTAAAAATGTTCTGCTCTGATCATATCATCAAAATTATCTCTCGGAGTTTAATATGTTTTGCGTTGGAGTTTTTTTTATAATGCCCTTCATTACTTTATAAGATGTCAGATTATATCAAATGTTGCCAGGTTCAATGTTGAAGATGAAAATTTAAATTCAAACTCTTAAATTTAATGAAAATCAATCTTTCTTTCAAAGTTCTTATTTTTTTTACTTCCTTGTACGAAGTAAAGGAAGTATTGTAATCGCGAAACATTTCGAGTATCATATTCCAAAGAAAATATACGGACGGAATAAAGGATTCGTTTTTCCAAAACGAATTGTAAAATATATTTAAAATGGATTCAGAAGGAAATTTTTTATAACATTTGTATGTACGTACGAGTGCATCTTGCATGACTCAAAAATAATTAGTCGTAGAACGTTGAAATTTTGTACATGGGACTGCTATAACATGTACTTGTGCACCTCCCATTTTTCTTGCAATCGACCTACACACACACACACACACACACACACACACACACATATATATATATATATATGTATATTCTCTCGTACCCAGCTCGGTGAGATCTGTGTTTTTATTCTAATATATTCTTAAATTGGGAATTTTTTGCTTTTAAAGTGACTGAATTATATTGTTCTCATGTTCCTGTAAAGATCTTTACGCCTTTAATAATCTGCATGCAAAAGAAGTTTAAGTTGCTCTAGGCTTAACGAGGTCGCCATTATTTACATTTGAAACTCTTAGTAGAATAATGAAATAAGTCAGTTGGTACAATTGGCTCAGTGTCTCTTTGTTCAGTGGGACAGAAAGTTAACTTTCAATTTTGTCTTTCTGTCCGTTGGTCGAATTGCTTGTTTCTCACGCAAAAACTCTAATTTTGATTTTAAAAAATATTTTTTAATTGTTTTAACTGTATTTTAATTGTTTTAACTATAATTTTCAATTTTGTGCACCAAAAATTTTGTCTTTTTCCGCGTTGCCCGAATTGCTTGTTTTTACGTAGAAATTCTAATTTTAATTGTAAAAAATATTTTTTAACTGTAGTTGGTGTTTTAGATTTTTATGTATTTTACAATTTTTAATGAAGATGTTTTGAAATTTTATGCATATCTGCCTTGCCGCGAAGTGAGAACTAAATTAATTGAATGAGAAGTATATCTCTAATCAAATCCTTGGAAATAGTTTAAATGAAGTACAGCAAAAAATGTGTATATTTTATTGGCCATATGAGGAAGTCATGTGGTGTTTATATCAGATTTCTTTCTCTATATCTTCATACAATGAGATTATTAGTTTTGATTACACTTATACAAAAATTAATATAACTGTGTTTTCTATCAATATAATATTATTTTGAACCGTTAAAATTATATAAAAATATATTTGTCTTCTTTGTGTACCAATTAATTCATGAGGTTTTTCCTTGTGTTCAATTAATTATACATTATGTAAAGAAAATCGTTTTTTCATGTTTTCTTTTTCTATTGACTTCGTGTTTGATCTTTGAACTTATGTGTATGAGCTGCATGGTGTTCTCATTAAAGTACATTTAGAAGAAATTAATCATGATCTTGCTCATCATAGCTTATAGATTTTGCAGAATTTGTGCTGTAGGTTTGAATAGAAAGAAACGCCATGGCTTCTAACAGAATTTTTGGCGACCTTCACTTCTAAATTAGAAAACTTATTGCAGCACCCTTGAGGACCTCTTGACCCTTAGGTCATAATCGGGCATTTATTAAAACGATCTTAACTTTTTATTTTCTTCCAATAAGGAAGATACAAGCGCGAAACGTACTTTAAATGGATATTAATGTCTGATATGTTTTAGGATACATTAGAACAAGACAGGTTAAGCTGATCTGAGATTGATGGATATGCCCTTTAAAAAAATAACCTGTTGTAAAATTTATGTTGAGATCCTTTGTTGGTTGTTTTCTGGTGATTAAGAATCCCAAAGAAATCCATCCTTAAAGAGTCTCTAATTGGCTTTTAACAAATTCTTTGAAACATCCGAATATTTTAACCATTGCGAATGGGCCTTTCAGTGTAATATGAATGTTGTATACATTACAGTGAAATTATAATCCAGACACGTTATATGATTATATCAAATTCCCAGGAAAGAGATGAATAATTCTGTTAGATGTACAAGAACAAATTGTAGCAGCCATTTTGATGGTTATTGAAACTAAATATGATCGTGTAAATAACATAGAAATCACAAGAAATCACAATGTATTAATAATGCAAGAAGTGCAATAAAAGTCTTTCGTTACCTTATATGGAATTTTTCACTTTTGTATCGTAAATGCCGAAGCGCACACGTTTAAGGGGGACTAATCAGGAATTTTACTTCATTGTCTTTTAATTAAATTCATAATTATAAATGAATTAATTTGTTTTCTTTTACTCAAATTATATTGTTGTTGTTAGTCTTGTCTGATGCAATCAGAAAAAGGCAGACGAATTATTGGAGTGGCAAGGAGTAGAAGATTACGTCTGCGTTAGCCAGAGCCTTGAGCACCATACAGGTGACAATCTGCCTTTACGTTCATTTCCACTCGAGTTTCGAAGAAGAGCACCTCGGAGGGCGGATCTAGTAGTTTCCCAGCCCTCTTTCCCTACCACCAACCTGTCGAGAGGACTTTGAGTGCTCTCATGCCGCACAGATACTGTACCTTTACAGACATCGGTGCCTTCTCCGGGATTTGAACCTTGGCTGTTCAGTACGGCAGTCAGCGTTACCACTTTCCTTTCTGGGTGGCACTCAAATTATAAGCTTTTGTACAGAATACTAAGCTATGACCTTCAATACATAGCTCATCATTATTGTGAAATCTAAAGCGACATCAATGTTTTTTCATAAGAGCTTGCCTCTCTGCAGAACTAAAGTTAATTTTGTAAAAAAAGAGTGACAACAACTAAGTAAACTTTCAGTTGCATATAAAAAAAATATCATAATGTCTCCATTTAAAGTATAAAACAGAAATAATGCTTTCAAATTCATGCGGTACGTATATCAGTTTAGAATTGTGAAAGGGATTTCCTTCTTTTATTATAAATTTTACTCTTCCTTCTTCGAACAGAATTTACATTACAAAAATATAACACATTTTTCTAAAACTGCCAAATATTTAAAATAAGACACTTTAAGAAAAAACAGTGCAATCTTTTTTTTTTTTTTTTTTCTTAGCGCAAATATGTAGTGGAAAAAGAATGAAAAATAAAAAGATGAGCATTTGTTGAAAGTTGAATCTTTTTCGCGTAAAATAAACTTGGGGAAGAAATAAAATTGTTTCTATTAACAGAAGAAATCTAATGCATGTCATAGTAAACGATGAGATTTGATTTATTTAATTACGGCAAAGCACGCGAGGGCTATCTGCCTAAGGGGAGGAATTCGGGGAAGACATTCCAAGGTAAACTGGCTCGTATAACGTTACGTAGAGCGAAAACCACGAAAGCCCCCATGCAGCCAGCCCGTTCGTCGGTATTCGAGTCCCGAACCGAGTTACCGATATATAGCAACTTTTCCGTCGGCCGCTGGTAGGCGTTAAATAATACGGAAAAAAAAAAAAGAAAATGCAAATTCTGTAATGTAGTGCTAATGGAAGCGTATATTTTAAACCTTCTGTTTCAAAAAAAGAGAAGAGAAGGAAAATAAACAAGTAAATAATTTTATGTCCGTTACAAATAAAAATTCAGTACTTACGTGTTATCGCAGTGATGGTCATAATTCACTTCATTTAAGCATTGCCATGATTTTTGTATGCGCCATTTTTGTTGTATTCCAGCCGTTTTCATAAACATATCGTGATACCTTTCCGCCTTAAACTTAACCTAAAAAAATGCGTTTGTGGTTATTATTATTTTTTTAAATTTTTGTAAATTTGATGTTGAATTGCAGGTGGCAGAAAATGATGCTTAATAAAAATAGCTGAGAAAAAAAAGCTGAAAGGTTTCAGATTTTTAATTATGTCCAAAGGGGCGTTTTTTAAATGTTTTGTGTGTTACCTTTATTTAATAAATATCACGTTCTTTGCACTTAACCATAAAATTCTGTTAAATAGCAATGTCGCAAAATAATTTTAAAATGAGCCTATCTTTAGGATTTCCCATACACAGTTCCACGTGCTGGAGATAAAAAGTTTTTCTTTTTTTTTTTTTTTTTTCACCTGTAGATTGTTGCCATTGCTCGCTTTCAAATCGTTGAGTTTGTTACTCAAAAATTCATTAAAGTTTTACAAAATATGAAATCGATAGTAAAACTAATTCCAAATTTCAAATTTGGTCTTCCACATGCCCATATTCGCAGTAGGATTATGTCATTCAAAATTCGATGGCTCTGTGTACCGTTGTTTTATCACACTGCGAGAAATAGATATACATTTATGTAGGTTTTTCATTATTTAATTTCTTCAAATATGATGGAGGACTCTAACATTGGGTGGCAACAGTTTAAAAAGTGAAACGGACATTTACAGGGATTCAACGTAAAATCGCAAAACGAAAACAATAGTCCTTCAGGGACAAAGCTCCTTTGGACTAAAAAGGTTAGTAGGAGTGAGTGTAAGAGTAGACTGGTAGCTGCGATTTCATCGAGAACGTAAAAAACTTTAACAAGCCCTTTTGGTCGACAGTTAAATTCGAAAACTTCTTACAAAATGTTTGTTTTCAGTTACGTTTTTGTTGTCTTAAATAAAATGGTTGATGGAAATAGTAGTATATCGTCTTAGAACACAGCATCGGAGTATTATCTTTAATAACACAGCTGTCAAAATAGCGAAAATGCTCTAAAATTTGTTTTGCAAGAAGTATTTATGTAATAGCAACTATTGGTGCATTGTAGTCAAATTAAAATTTTGCCCTGTATTCTCTTTTCAATTGTTTATTGCAATGCTGTCTTAAGAACTCACTAATTTAATTTAATAGTTCAAGCTCCAGTCCCTTATTATTTATAATTAAATGTAGAAAGCTTGATATCACAGATCGTTTATAAGATATTTCTCCCGCCTTCTTTGCATGCGTTCGTGGTGTGGTGGTCTGCACGCTGGGAACTTATCCAAAGGTCCGCGGTTCGATTTCCGGCGAAAGCGTTACTAATTTTTCATCTGTTGTGCTTCCAAAAACTACCTAATGTCTCTACACGGTAAAATCACTTTCTAGTGAAAAGACGTACAATCATTGTGCGAAACTTATAAACAGCTCTTAACTGAAAGAGGAATTTTGATTTCATTTTCTTAGTTGAGAAAATTACAGCTATTATAAAAAGAAATTGTGATACTAAATTCTAATGAAAATGTATTTCGATTCCTAATATGAAGTTATTTCATTACATAAGTAGTTTAGGAAATTTAATTCAGTTCCTTGGGAAATGCACTAAATGGAGGGGAATTTTTGGAAGGTTTGCCGTAGGATATGTGAATACAAACTTAGTTCTTTTTAATATCTTCTCCGAAGAAACTCCTAAGGTAGAAATTTGTTTGTTCTTTTACATAATTTAATTTCTAATTTCAAATTGTTCTGGGCCGACTTCTTATACAATAAAATTATTTTTAAATAAGTGTAAGTTTTAGTTATGTATCTTCGAAGCAGATATGTAACTAGAAATCTGTTTACATTACTTTGTTTTCTTTCAGGATTTTATGATTTTTAAGGGTTTTTAGATTTAGATTAAATATTATAGAAAATCCCAAATTTTCTTGAAAAACTATTGCTTAAACTTTTTTCTAAGAAATAAAATTATTAGACCAAATAGGGCGTTAATCTCGAATGTGGTATAAGTCTCAAAACGGCAATTTGCCTCGAAACATTTGAATGCGTTGTATCACTTCTCAAATTGTTTCTACCAAATATTATCGTTCTACATTATATTCAAAGCAGTTAAATAATGAAGAATCTACATAAATGTATCCATGTTTCCCGCATTATGAAAACGCAACGGTAGCTAGAGCCCTCCAGTTTTGAATAACGTAGTCCTCCATCCAAACATGGGCAGTTTTGAATAACTTAGTCCTCCATCCAAATTATAAATTTCGAAATTTGCTTTATAATCTCTTTCCCATACTGTAAAATTTAAACGAAATTATGGTTAAGAAACTTAATGACTTTAAAACAAGCAGTAGCAACACTGGACGGAATAAAACATTTTTACTCCAGCTCGCAAGTCTATCTTTCGGAAATTCTAAAGATAAGCTTTTTTAAAAATTTTGTGATTTTGCTGTTGAATTGAATTTTATGTGACGTAAGCGCCCGAGAACGTAGTATTTAATAAAGTAAGCATATAAAAAGTTAATAGTAGAAAACAAAAACAAAACAAAAATAATCATAATAATAATAAGATCATAATAAGAAAACTGAACTTGATACGATGAACAGAGAAAAGAATAAAAAAAGTAAGCGTATACTGACACTTAACGCTGCATTGGGAAATATAAACGTATACTACTATGCTACTTATAAAATTTTTGTAATTTTGCTGCTGAATTTTATATGGCGTAATTGCGAAGAAAATGATGCTTAATAATATTACTTGAAAAAGGGGAGGGTGTTAGTAGGACTTAGTGTAACAGCAGACCGGTAGACTGCAAGTTCAGCCAGAGTGTAAAACACCTTAACAAAGCCTTTTAGGTGACCTTTTAAATCGGAAATCTTTCAGATTTTTTTTTTTTTTTTTTTAATTTAATGAAATACCAAAATGTAACAAACTTTACTTAACACAGTTTTATGTCAAGAATTAACAAACGCACTGAGTGCTTATTGTTTTTTACATTCAAAAGTTGTGGGAATTCGAAAAATTTTAAGTTTCTAGTGTAAGTTAAATACCTTTTTATGTATATAATTTAAAGCTTTGTATTCATACCTCCCACACGAAAACTTCCATTGCAATTGCAGTTTATCTATAAAAAAGCAATACATTAGATTCACCGTACCTCTAGCAATTTACGACTGTGTGCGATTTATGGGTTTTAAACAAAAACGTGAATGGAGCACAGACCGTGACGGGTACGTTGCGAAAATCCTTTTCCTTTCTTGATCGAATGATAGCATAGATTACTTACTCAAGAAGAACTCAGTAGAACACCGATAATACTTACCCTTTCTTTAAGAGCATTGTCGAGTAAAATAAATGTCAGAGCTGAACGAAAGTGAAGTGCAGTTAGAGAGTTAGGAAAGACGTGTTTTTTAAAAAATGATGCTAGCTCAATTAATGTTCAAACCTGTGTTGCTGCATACCCAATTTCAGAATGAGTTGAGCAAACAAGAGTTTAATAAGAATGAATATTGCAGAATTACTCAATGGATGCTGCAAATAAAAGGAGATAAATTTTGCCGAGCTTCATAAATTGCTGCAAAAGAGTTCTGATATATTTCTTCATCTCAAGCAAAGGGAAAAAAAGATGAATGCGGGCTCATACACTCTGGAGAATTCAGTATACGAAAGCACTTTTTATTAAATAAAGTTTTGAGGTAATTATTTTATATATCATTATATCTGATAATTCTTGCACCAAATTTATGGTTAAATCATACGACAAAAATTACGCATACATTAAAAATGTTATAAAAGTTTCATTAAATAATTGTTATAGCAGGTAAAAAGGTTACTTAATTAACGTGAATTTTGCTCATTTTGCCTTCCTTTTTAAGAAATTATTTCTTACATTTTAAAAACAGTTCTGTGCGTTCACCTGAAACATCTGCCTCGGTATGCTCGCTGTTGTAATACCATACGTTTCTCTAATATAAAAATAAGTATATTTTAATAGTCAATCAATACCGATTCAAAACTCGACCGACTCGAATATTTGTCAAAAACTTTCGTTTTAAAGCAGTTCCTGCAAATATTAATTGAAATCACTATTTACGTTTATTTGACAAATGTATGAGTTTTTTATAGTTGATTTTGCATATTTTCTTTTCGTCTTTTGAAAGTGAACTCTGTGTTTATATATAATGCAAATTTATATGCGTGATTTTTTAATAAGCAGAGCATCATTTCTTAATCTAATCGCACTCTATATTTTATTTCCTTTTTTGCAATATTTAGCTCTAATTGAGGAATTTTAGCAACATATTTATGTTGGTCTGAAATATGTTTGCTTCATATATAAAGAGGTGTTTATACACAATTTCAATAACGAATTAAGGAAATCGATTTTGATAAAGAATTAAAGATTAAAATTAAAGGATTAAAATGAGAAATTAAATTATAAAGGAAAACTGGATTTTGAAATGAGAAGTATCGTCTTCTACTTTTATTCTTTTTTGGAAATGTCGCATTTAACGTAGATTTTCAAAGTATTCCTGCAAAGTCCCTGACGTTTCCCTTAAGGACTGTTGTGCCTTTCGTGTCATGAAATAAGGACTTTCTAACCGCAAAACCGCCATGATTGATGGACTTTGGAATATAGTAGAAGAGGAATGGAAATCAGTAATCCTGGACATTTTAGAAAGACTTTTTCTGTCATGAAAGTTACGATGCAGACTTATAGTCCGAAAAAAAAAAAACGATAGAAGATCGAATAAAGATCGATAAAGATCGAATATTAAAAAAATACTCTTTGCATTTTAAACATTAATTAAATGGCTCCGAAATCGCTCTCAAATTGTGTAAATACCATACGGCATTTACTATGCATATACTCATAAAGAAATACTCTTTGCATTTTAACATTAAAATAGTTGAAGATATCAAATTAAAATATTCTTTAAACGTGTTAATTATATTTTTGTTAAAAATTAAGCGTAATAAATACTCAGTTTTAAAATACAGGTTAAGCAACTGCGCTGAAAGTTTGAAGTAACTGTTTTTTTTTTCAGGACTGTGGCGTTTTTTT